GTATTTGAGTTAATATAAACATGTCATACCTACCAGTTTCACCAAGTATGGCCTTATTGGATGCAAACTTTCCCACCCTTAAATATCGTTTAAAATATGTAGTTTGCACTTGCTCTATTTCATGATGATAATTATTGCCCCAAATTTCACTTGCGTATAATAAAACAGGAGCAATTTTCGTATCAAATATTTGGCAGGCGATAAAGATAAAGCTATTCTTCCTAAATAAATGGAATACAGAGAACATTGCTTTAGTTGCCTGTGCAGCAAGAGTCTTACAAGCGTTTGACCATAAGAGCCTTGAGGAGAATATTAACCCTAAGTACTTATAGTAAGTAACACTTTTTAGCTGTTTATCACCAAAGTACCATTTCTCATTTCTTCGCAGTATACCACCGTTTCTAAAAACTATTATATTTGTCTTTTCTGTATTCACCTCAAGACTCCATTTTCTACACAAACCTTCTAGTACATTCAGTTGTCTTTGCAAACCTACTACTGTAAATGAAAACATTGTAACATCATCTGCAAACAATAGCATCATTATGTCTTCAATAGTTTGGCTTATAAATATTCCATGATCACATTTGTTATACATATCAGTTACAAGTTCATTTATAAAGAATATGAATAGCACAGGGCTTAAGACACAACCTTGGCGAACACCACATGAAGTTTCAAAGTGTTGTGTGATGCCCTCTTCAGATTTTATACAAGCTTTAACTGATGAATACATACTCTTCAATATTGTATACATTTTGCAATGACAACCTTTTGTAGCTAACATATATAGCATTTTTTCCTATTAATGTAATCAAAAGCTTTCTTAAAATCGACGAATGCCATGTAAAATCTACCCCCCTTCTTACATAGATATTTGCTGCACAACGACTGTAGGATAAAAATATTGTCTACCGTAGAATAATCCGGACGGAAACCTGCTTGAGACTCCGAAATCAAATTATTAACATCCAACCAAATTCTTATTCGTTTTTCTAAAACAGACGTAAACACTTTACCAATAACATTTAACAACGATATTCCTCTGTAATTATTCGGATTTGATCTGTTCCCAGACTTAAACAAAGGGACAATCATTCCAATGTTCCACACTTCGGGAAAGTGACCTGTATCTGATATCTCATTATACAATAATTGTAAGTATTTAACAACAGTTATAGTGTCAGCTGGGCGGTGGGGTAGCCTAGTGGTTAAAGCGTTGGCTCGTCACGCCGAAAACCCGGGTTCGAATCCCCACATGGGTACAATGTGTGAAGCCCATTTCTGGTGTCCCCCGCCGTGATGTTGCTGGAATATTGCTAAAAGCGGCGTAAAACCAAACTCAGTCAGTCAGTATAGTGTCAGCTAACTTAAGAAATTCTGGTGGAATGCCATCTTCGCCCGGAGCCTTGTTTCGTTTCAGCATACCAATACTATCTATAATTTCTTTTTCTGTGATTTGACCTGATAAGAGTTCATCACTAAAAGGCAAAGTGTTACAATGTTCACAGGAATGAGAATGTACGAATTCGGATACGGTTTCATCAAAAACAGTCTTTTCACTGCCTGGTTCAGGGCTGAGTAGTGATGTAAAATATGACAACCAGATATCTGGAGAAATACCACTTTGTACATTCTTACCACATATCAGGGAATTCAAAGTCTTCCAGAAGGATTTACAATCCCCATACCTTGCTGCAATGCTTATGTCATCTGCAAATTTCTTATCGTAATAATCTTTTTTAAGTTGGCAGCACCTTTTAAAATCACACTTTACTGATAGGTATTTTTTTAAATTTGACTGACACTTAAATTTACGATAGGTAGATAATGCTTTTTGCTTAGCGCTTTTCAGGATACGACAATCTTGATCAAACCACGGCGGTTGTTCCCTTCGTCTATTTGAGCTTGGGTTAAACAGTAACCTTGTTGGTGAACAATTTATCAGAAAATCGCCCAGTTTTCTAGCAGCCAAGTTAACATCGATATCTAGTAATGTAACGAAATCTTCAAATATGCTTGACTCGATGGTATGGGTAAGACAGTTGTTATATTCTGCGACTAAGGCATCAGGGAGTCTGTATCTAGGTACACGGGGTAAAACAGGAGAATCTGTACACGCAGAAACATCAGAACCTAGACCTAAAAATAGACTACATAAAACGACAACAATTGGCATATGGTCCGATTCTGTACGCTCTGGTATTTGGAAGTCTTGAAAGTAGGCGAACATCTCACTTGACACAATACAATAGTCCACAACACTTGTACCCATATTGGAAATGTATGTATACAAACGAGATGCAGTTGGGTTACAACGACCATTTACAATGTGTATACCAAACGATTTACACAGTTCGAGCAACCATCTGCCATATTTATTTGTAACATCATCTTCTGAGTTTCGAGGTTGGTCAAAAATGTCCGTGTTATATGTGTCACCAACTGGAAGGTATTCAGGATTATCGTCACTAATGAAGTCAGGATCTGACCCAGTTCTCGCATTAAGGTCGCCGCATAAAACAAAGTTAATGGAATCCCCATAGTCATACTTAATATGTAACAGTTTGTTTTGTAGACGTTCAATACCATTGTCTTCAGATTTGTCGTACTCAGGAGACTTTTCAGGATGAATGTATGTTAACACAAGAAATACGTTTTCAACAGTCTGGGAAACCTGGTGGTTAACTACCTTCATTATACCACTGAGGTGTGTTATGTCCATTGTTCCGGCAGGTTGATTTTCTGCGTATCAACCTTCTGTCTGCACGGGCAGAGGTTGATATGTGGATAACGACCTGGGCGGTGCAGGAAACGCACGAGCAACAAGCAATGTACGAGTCCATTCGGCGCCCACGTGGTATAAGCAGGTTAGCACCCGCCCTCTGCGGGTGATATGGATTCAACGCTCTCGCCTGACGGCTCGAGCGTTGAAATCCATATCACCCTTGAGGAGGGTGCTAACGTATACATACAATGATATTATCCCAGTGTGCATATACTCTTTCTAGAGTATTTTCAATGCCTCGTCGAATCATCACACATATACCACCAGACGGTCTACCTCTAGTGTACTGTCGCTTTGCGTTACAATAGTGAAATGAAAACCCGTTAAATGCGCCCTCTAGTGCAGTTGAACTTTCAGTGCACATGATTTTAAGAAAACAGAAAATATCGTACATTGAACAAAATGTTATAAAGTCAGGCCATTGTATTTTAGACAACAAACCACACACATTCCAAGTACATATAGATATGTTGTCGGCATCATAAACGCGCTTTGGTCTTTTCAACCGAATGAAGAAGGGTCAGTTTGCAAAGTCACAGAGTCAATTGCAGGTCAGTAGTGCGTGTGTCCACCTCTGTTTCTGACACACTGCACATCCAGCCCTCATCGACCTCACTAATGTCCTCAGTGATGCCTGTGGTATTGCCTGCCACTCCTGGTCCAGAAATCTGAACAGTTGGTCAGCGTTCACTGGCGGAGGATGATTCTGACGGATACGCCTACCAAGGATGTCCCAGACATACTCTGTGGAAGCAAGGTCTACAGAATATGCTGGCCACTGCATCCTCACAACACCAATTGATTGAGGAAGCCTGCAACCAAACATGCCCGATGTGGCCTGGCGTTGTCGTCCTGGAACGCCGCTTGCGGTCCAATGACGGAAGTGACGGAATGACAAGTGGACCACGAACCTCATCTCTGTACCGTACATCAGTCAGGTTGCCTGTGATGAAGACTGAAGGCACCCCACACCATGACGGACCGTCCACCAAACCGGTCACGTTCACTAACGTTAAAATAGTGAAAGCGTTCTCCTCGACTTCTGAACACCCGTGCGCAACCATCATGAAACCGCAAATTGTATCGGGAGTCATCGGAAAACAACACCCATGACCACTGTTGACGATTCCATTGCAAATGAGCCCGACACCATGCTTCCCGTGCTGTTCTGTGACTAGGACGTAACGGTTGTCTGACAGCTGGACGTCTGTTATGGATGCCAGCGGTACGTAAACGGTTACGAATGGTCTGGGCACTGATGTTGACATTCGTGGCATTCCTTAACTGCAGGCGATGAGAATTTGCTGTGACGAATCTCTGCCGCAGACATAATGACATAATGGTCATCAGCATGCGACGTGGAACGGGGCCTTCCTAAACGTGGCCGGTCCTGCACCTCCCTGTCATCTGAACCCTTTCAAACGTCAATGAATCACAGATGGGGATTTCTGAAGACGTCGAGCAACCTCACGAATCGAAACGCCATCCTGAAGCCACCCAATCGCCCTTGCTCGATCAAATTCACTCAACGGTTGTCACATTGCGCACTGACAAAATCATCAATGACACTGTTGCAAAGTGTCCAACTTCTTATACCAATCCATGCAAATGCTTCATTGGGACCATGTGATGCACGTGCATGGTTGCATTTGTGTTCCTTGTTCCCGTCCAGGCTAAGGATTATGATCTCAACAATGAGCATTTTGGGCAAATTTTGGGTCCTTTCTTATTTTGTATAATATAACCAATATGGTCATCAACCGTTAAACTGCATTTGTGAATGCTTCCGACGTTACTTTACTGCTATTGTTCAGGATAACAGCTATAGTGTAATATTCGGATGCTACAATTCATTACTACGTGAACACAGCTTACAGCTTAAACATATTGCATGCAACAATTTGAAGACCTGCCATGTCCAACCCAACTCAGTATATGGATTGATGTATGGTGGACAAAAAACACAGAAATGATCGACAAGAGTAAGTCAGCATAGATCGGACATCACAAAGATGTTTGCAACTGAGAGAGTGAGTTTATTTTTACGCCGCACTCACAATATTCCAGCTATATGGTGGCGGTCTGTAAATAATCTGGACCAAACACTCCCGGGATCAACAGCATGAACGTTCATCTGCGCAATTGGGATACGATGACATGTGGCAACCCAGTCAGCGAGCAGGCCAACCGATCCCGATAGTCGCCTTTTACGACAAGCATGGGTTACTAAAGATCAATTCTAACCCGGACCTTCACGGGTCTGTTTGCAATTGAGTCTACCAACACTATGTAATGTCCAGAGCAAATCATTTCAAACTTATGTTATATTTGGGATTACAGTACCTCGGTAAAGCACAGATTCAAGTACTTTTGTTGGGTTGAGTCCCAAACGGGATTCGAACCCACACCCTCAGAGTCAGGGACCTTATCGGCAGCACACAAAATGGCACAAAGCATTAGAATCGAAATGGGCCTCATACATTGTATCCATGTAGGGAGATTATTGAACCCGGATCTTCGTTGGACGAGCGAACACTTTAACCACTAGGCCACCCCACCGCTCGTACATGAAGGGAAAGTGGATTTTAGGAAAATTGAAGTCTTGTCATACAGTCCTGGATAGTTACGTGTCACTGTATCTCTGTCCACAGATGTAAATATCAACGAGATAAGACGGTTCACTGCATATAAGCTGAAGTGGAATAATCAGTTAAACAGAATAGGCAACTCCCCTTTTTGACCGATATGAAATCCTCGAAGTACTTGAAGTGATGTAATGTTGTCAATCCATGCAGAAAATCCGAGTTCTGTGTAAAAAAAACAAATCCCCACCGAGCGGATGCCTTCTTCTATGTCCTTTCCTTTCCTTTCATTTCACAAAGACATTATCAATGACGATTTCCAGAAACGCATGCACGTTTCATTTGCGCAAAAACTTCACATTCTCGTAATCTCGACGAGACTGCATTCGGCGTTCCTTCTTTGGCAAATCAATCACAGTAACCCCACCAGGAACCTGTCTTGCGCTTGCCTGACCTCTGAGATGTTCTGTACTGTTTTCAAGCGATACATCCTCATGACCGATTCGAGTCGATTCCCCGCGTTTCTCTTCACCCAACACATCACTTGCTCCTAATCCTGGTGTAGTCAACGCTTCCCCGTCGTCGTAGACGTATTCATTGGTTGTGTCTGTAAACGTTGGCGACAGATAGATTCCCGTGTCAGATCTACTTGGAATTTCTAATCCAGGTGGGGCTCCGGGTTCTGATCTGGCTCGGAACGTAAATTCTGATCCCGATCCGATGTTCCCTATTGCTGGTCCATCAGCAGTTTTTGGACCAGGTGTTGTTGTCTTTTCACCAGGAGGGTGGCAAAGTTTACTTTTCAATTCTAAAATTCCTCTTCCCCATGTTTCATCTTTCCGTGTGTGTGGCCAATGTTCAGTATAAACGTTTCCTGGAGAAAAAACAGAACTCAATGAATTCAAACGTAAGTAAAGATAACTGACAAATAATGGTCTAACATCGAAGCTACGGACAGCCCATGTCCATGGTCCTTGGATGAGGTTTCTCTGTATACATAAACATCAAAATTGACGATTATCAGTAATGCCACTGTTGAGGATAAATGCCATGGAACTTACACACTGCTGTTACCATATTAAAGTTAACATGAGTGTGTGAGTTGGGTTTTACGCCGCTTTTAACAATATTCCAGCAATACCACCAGAAATAGGCTTCACACATTGTACCCATGTGGGGAATCGAACCCGGGTCTTCGGCGTGACGAGCGACCACTGTAGCCACTAGGTTACCCCACCGCCACAAAGTTAACGTAGACAAAAGGGCAGTATAGCGATATGCCTCCAAAACAACATCTTACACGTTAATTCAGAAACCAGAGAAAGCAATATTCTAGTTTCATGTAAATATCCAATATGTGACCTTATTTATACACCACTGCCCAACGATTTTGCATTCAGCCACAATTACTCCGATCAACTTATCAGCCTTTTGACCAAACAGGGGGTTCTTTAAAACTTTGTCAAAGTACATCTCCATGTTTGTTACATCCCCGAAGTAGACCACGCGGTGATTTTAAATCTCTTAGGTTCTATTACGACCTATAGACACTTTGGCGCTGGCTGTGCAGCAACGCTTCAAGTGGATGTAAATACTCATGGGTAAAGTGAATGTCAAATGTCAGGCCAAAGTATCGGCATGATTGAGCTCTTTATTTATTAGTTAATAAACGCTGCAACTTTCCAGCTATATAATCGAATCGGGACCAGACAACCCGGTGATTGACATCAAGTCCATCGATCTTGGCAACTGGGATACGAAAACATGTGTCAACCAAGTCAGGGAGCTTGACCTCCCGATCCCGTTAGTTGCCTCTTACGACAAGTATGAGTTGCTGAAGACCAATTCTAACCCGGATCTTCGTTTTAGGACCTGACCACCCGATCCCTCATGTGACAAACAAGGGCTGCTAACACGGATCGTTGGTATCATAATGATAGAGCCAGGGGAAAAACATGAAATGGGGTCATTTGATCATGGAAGGCAACAATAAAATAGTTTACCTGTTGGGGTTGTTTTTGTCTTCGGATCACTTTTATCAGTGTTTAGTTTTACCATCTCGTTGATCTTGCGCACGATATTTTTTCCTTTAGTTGTCTCCATCACGAATATCCCTTCCCCAGCCTTGCTCCCTCTGCCCAATTCCACTGAGAAGTAGTTTGGTGACTCGCCGTACCTCCTGATGCAATGGTATGGCCACTCTACAATTATCTCATTTGACGTGACGTTCCGCAGACTGAGTTCGTACTTGCCGATTATCAGATTGTAGACTTCTTGTTTTATGGTCATGGGTGCGCCTTGTGGACCTTCACGGAATACGACCCTGAATGTGTATGTATTTTCTGAAAGTCAGTGAATCATCCATCTTAGAAAAAATCTTTGAATTTGACGTGGCTATTAACAGACTAAGTGATATCATGATATGAAGCAGTCAGCTTCGAATGGCAGGTAGAGAATTGATATTATTTTGAAATTAGGAATAGGAACCTTTGTAAGTTGTTAACTGCAATTTTCTTAGCAATTTCTGAGACGGTGAGTGAGTGAATTACTTATCACGGCATCCAGTGTCTTCCTAAGGAAAAGACAGACAGTTTACCATGGAAGCCATCTTCCAGTACCGATGTTTACTTCCCTTGTACACTTCGGTTCAGTGTGTTATGTTTTAGGCGGTGGGGTAGCCTAGTTGTTAAAGCTTTGACTCGTGTCAAAGTGTTGGCTCGTCACGCCGAAGACCCGGGTTCGATTCCCCACATAGGTACAAAGTGTGAAACTCATTTCTGGTCTCTCCCTCTCTGAAATTGCTGGAAAATTGCTATAAGCTGCGTATAACGATACTCAATTAGTCACTTAAGAGGTTCCTAAACCTACGATCTGAGGTCATTTTCACTCATGAATCCCCCATGTTGGCGTCACCTTCTAAAATGAGGTATTGTAACGGCCAGCGTTTGAATTTAACCTTTCATTTACCGACGTTTCTATGGCTTTCCTGCATACAATTACAACACTTTTATTCACTAGTGTAGACGATACTGGTCTATTTATCAGCATTCATTTACGTAAGAATACAATAAAAATAAAGACTTGTCACTCCTTATATCTGGCACTTAAATAGTGAACTCCACATTACAATAGATCCCTATTTCTGTATGTGACAATAAACCATCGAGATTGGCGTTATTATAGGACCTCCAAAACCACTTGTCATGGATAGAGGTGAAGTATGCCAGAGCGACACTGCGATGTCATCTTTATAGACAATTAGTCCATGATAAGTGGTAATTGTTTCAGCTACAGTGCCTACACATTTTCCTGCAGTACTATTGTTTGGCATATTAGTCTCTTCTCTATTGAGGAGGCTCGTTAGGCTCATTTGTCTAAGGCGCCGCAGTTCGCTGTGCTGAGTTTAGTCCCTCAACTGCGCACGCCCCAAACTTAATGTCCTGAGTTCGAATCCCGGTTTGCACTGATTTTGTTTTTAGGTATTGTTAGCACCACCCCTTTGCTCACTTGCCTGATCACTTGGGGTTATCCTTCCATATTGAGCTGACACGTATAATCGCTTCGATAAATCGTGATAACCGCTTTGTGTTAGTGCTTCGATAATCGTGATAACTGCTAAGTACATGTATAAGTGCTTCGATAAATCGTAATAACGGCTATGTATAATCGCTTCGATAAATCGTGATAACTGCTATGTATTAAGTGCTTCGATAAATCGTGAAAACTGTTAAGTATAAGTGCTTCGAAAAATCGTGATAACTGCTGTGTGTAAGTGCTTCGATAATCGTGATAACTGCTATGTATAATCGCTTCGATAAATCGTGATAACGGCTATGTATAAGTGCTTCTATAAAACGTGATAACTGCTAGGTACTAGTGCTTCGAAAAATCGTGATAACTGCTAGGTGTATTTGCTTCGTTAAATCGTGATAACTGTTAAGTATAAGTGCTTCGAAAAATCGTCATAACTGCTAGGTGTATTTGCTTCGATAAATCGTGATAACTGCTATATATAAGTGCTTCGATAAATTGTGATAACTACTATGTATAAGTGCTTCTATAAATCGTGATAACTGCTAGGTACTAGTGCTTCGATAAATCGTGATAACTGCTAGGTATAAGTGCTTCGATAAATCGTGATAACGGCTATGTATAATCGCTTCGATAAATCGTGATAACGGCTATGTATAATCGCTTCGATAAATCGTGATAACTGCTTTGTATTAAGTGCTTCAAAAAATCGTGATAACTGTTAAGTATAAGTGCTTCGAAAAATCGTCATAACTGCTAGGTGTATTTGCTTCGATAAATCGTGATAACTGCTATGTATAAGTGCTTCGATAAATTGTGATAACTACTATGTATAAGTGCTTCTATAAATCGTGATAACTGCTAGGTACTAGTGCTTCGATAAATCGTGATAACTGCTAGGTATATATGATTCGATAAATCGTGATAACTGCTATGTATAAGTTCTTCGATAAATCGTGATAACTGCTGGGTACTAGTGCTTCGATAAATCGTGATAACTGCTATGTATAAGTGCTTCGATAAATTGTGATAACTGTTAAGTATAAGTGCTTCGATAAATCGTGATAACTGTTAAGTATAAGTGCTTCGAAAAATCGTCATAACTGCTAGGTGTATTTGCTTCGATAAATCGTGATAACTGCTATGTATAAGTGCTTCGATAAATTGTGATAACTACTATGTATAAGTGCTTCTATAAATCGTGATAACTGCTAGGTACTAGTGCTTCGATAAATCGTGATAACTGCTAGGTATATATGATTCGATAAATCGTGATAACTGCTATGTATAAGTTCTTCGATAAATCGTGATAACTGCTGGGTACTAGTGCTTCGATAAATCGTGATAACTGCTATGTATAAGTGCTTCGATAAATTGTGATAACTGTTAAGTATAAGTGCTTCGATAAATCGTGATACACATACCGATGTTGATGTTGCCTTGCCTTTTAACGCCCCGCTCATCAATTTTAGACCAGACAATCCCGTGATTGATATGAAGAGTACCGATCCTACCCGAAGGTGTACGAGGACACGTAATGAACCAAGTAACCTGACCTCCCTGAATTTTGTGTCACCACCATGTTTGTCTTCAGTGTGACATGCATTATTGCTATTCTAGTGACAGGTGTTTGAGTGAGTGAGGGAGTTTAGTTTTACGCCGCACTCAACAACATTCCAGCTATATGGCGGCGGTCTGTAAATAATCGAGTCTGGACCAGACAATCCAGTGATCAACAGCATGAGCAGCGATCTACGAAACTGGTATACGATGACATGTGTCAACCAAGTCAGCGAGCCTGACGACCCGATCCCGTTAGTCGCCTTTTACGACATGCATGTGTTACTGATCAGTTCTAACCCGTATCTTCACTGATAGACAGGTTTTGAACATTGATCATGGTTTCTTAGCTGAGTGGCTTACCTTCTCTCAGCTCCATAATGGGATCTGACTTAGTGTGTTTCCTGTAAGGCAGTAAGTCGTAGCCTAGGTATAGTTTGGTACGGTCACAGGCAGGTCTGAAAGTAAATTGAATGTGTCTGAATACGTAACAAAACCTCATGTCATAGATAACCACTGTGGTCAAATGAAACAATTATTACATTTGGGAAAACGCTTGCTTATGGAATCCGAGAAGGGACATTGTCGCATTGTCGCATTGTCGCCCTCACAAAAACAAGTAAAATGAGGCAAAATAAACCAAAACGCAACACGCGACATCGCGACAACGCGACGATGTCCCTTCCAGGAGTCCATACTTTCTCACATTCTAATTTTGTTTTGAGTCCCATCCACACTCCGAGATAGACAGCCTGCGATATAACCTTCATCCACCAAGCTTTCCACAAGTTTCAGAATACTGGTAGTCTAGACCACATACTCGCATCTCCTAGTGGAATGTCATTAAAATGTCATTAACATAATAAGATGATATCATAAATACATTTCTCCGAGTTTTTGACTGAATGTTTCATGCAAAGCTAACAGACAACGTTGTTTGACTTTCATCAGATGCAAACACTGTACGTACTTCAGACCTTTTTTTCCAAAAGTTGCCGATTGATACCGCTAATGTTCAAATATAGGGCGGAGATTAGAATCATTTGATACAACTTAACATCTGCTTTATATTCAAGGAACACAGCCATTGCATTCAGGAATATTGACGTGTAAGTAGAATAGGAGAAGAAGACCTATTTTCAGTTCAATCTGATTTGATTGAAACGTCTTTCAACTATTGGTCGTCATGTCGTATCCGTTACGCATGGTCATACATCTTCTGTTGTAGAGTCGCAAGGAAATATCTTATTCTGCATTTTCACCACTTACTAAATTCATTCTAAATTGTTAAACTATCAGCGTGGTCTGAAAATTCAAATCTGAACACAATATAATTAAAAAACACTCGGTATTTTTCGGATGATACCTATATAAACACATATTATGTTTCAAAGTCAAACAAATGAATCCAAAGGTTACACAGAACGGGGCGGTGGGGTAGCCTAGTGGTTAAAAGCGTTGGCTCGTCACGCTGAAGACCCGGGTTCGAATCCCAACATGGGTACAATGTGTGAAACCCATTTCTGGTGTTCCCCGCCGTGATGTTGCTGGAATATTACTACAAGCGGCGTAAAACCAAACTCAGTCAGTCAGTCAGTCAGTTACACAGAACAGACCTGGAACTGTTGGCGACAACATGGTCTCGGTTCATGTATAGTCGAAAATTCGATTGCAGACAATAATATCTTCCCTGAAGTCAATTATAATATCATATCGTAAATGTAAGTATAAACTGAGTAGATGAAAACATCTCCACGTAGCTGACATGATCGTCAATGGAAAAGAATTATCTTCTCCGTACATGACAATATTTCCTACGCAGATGAAAGGATCTTCTACGAATATAACTTGAACTTCTGTGTAGAAGAATTATCTTCTACACAAAGATGAAAATATCTCCTACCTAGATGAAATGACCTTCTACGAAAAGAACATGGTCTTCTATGGAGAAGAACTACCTTCTACGTATATGAAAATATCTCCTCCTTAGATGAAAGGATATTCTACGAAAACTATTTATCTTCTCTGTAGGAGAAATTATCTTTTGCATAATAATGAAAATATCTCATATGTAGATCAAAGGATCTTCCACGAAAACACACCTCTCTTCTGCGAATGAGAACCTATCTTCTGTATATATGAAATTATTTCCTACGTACATGAAAGGATCTTCTACAAAAACAAAACGATCTACGTAGAAGAAATGATCCTACATAGATGAAAGGATCTGCTACGAAAACAAATTGTTCTATGTGGAAGAAAGCATCATTTGCGTAGATGAACGGAACAACTTACGTTGTAGTCTCACGGTTCAGGATATATTCCCACTCGCTCAGGGACAGAAGGTTGAATGTGAGTACATTAACAAGGAAGTAAAACAACACGACGGCTAGCTTGTCATGAGATACGGGTGACGTCGGTTTAGTCGCACAGCAGATATATTTAGTGAACTTACAGGAAAAGGATGTTGCAAGTAGCAAATGGGTTGGTGTGACAATGGAAAGCTGACGTGAGATTGTGTCAAGAGGGCTGATCTAAATTAGGAAGAGTGGTGTGGGTTCCTTCTGTGATATGAGGCAGGGTGACTGTGTATGTGATATGAGGCAGAATAACTGTTTATGTGATATGAGGCAGGATAACTGTGTATGCGAGATGAGGCAGAATAACTGTTTATGTGAGATGAGGCAGGATAACTGTATATGTGATATGAGGCAGGGTGACTGTTTATGTAATATGAGGCAGGAGAACTGTTTATGTGATATGAGGCAGGACAACTGTATATGAGATATGAAAGCAGGGTGACTGTTTATGTGATATGAAGCAGGATAACTGTTGGTGTGATATGAGGTGAGAACTGTATATGTGATATGAAAGCAGGGTGACTGTTTATGTGATATGAGGCAGGATAACTGTTGGTGTGATATCAGGCAGGACAACTGTGTATGTGATATGATGCAGGGTAACTCTTTATGTGATATGAGGCAGGATAACTGTGTATATGATATGAGGCAGGATAACTGCTTATGTGATATGAGACAGGATCACTGTTTATGTGAGATGAGGTAGCACAACTGTTTATGCGAGATGAGGCAGCATAACTGTGTATGTGATATGAGGCGGGATAAATGTTTATGTGATATGAGGCAGGGTGACTGTTTATGTGATATGAGGCAGGATAACTGTTTATATGATATGATGCAGGGTGACTGTGTATGATATATGAGGCAGGATAACTGTGTATGTGATATGATGCAAGACAACTTTTTTATGTGATATGAGGCAGGATAACTGTTTATGTGAGATTAGGCAGGATAACTGTTTATGTGATATGAGGCAGGACGACTGTTTATGTGATATGATGCAGGATAACTGTTTATGTGAGATTAGGCAGGATAACTGTGTATGTGATATGAGGCAGGATAACTGTATGTGATATGAGGCAGGATAACTGTTTATGTGATATGAGGCAGGATAACTGTTTATGTGAGATGAGTCAGGATAACTGTTTATGTGATATGAGGCAGGATAACTGTTTATGTGATATGAGGCAGGACAACTGTGTATGTGAGATGATGCAGGATAACTGTGTACGTGATATGATGCAGGACAACTGTTTATGTGATATTAGGCAGGATAACTGTGCATGTGAGATGAGGCAGGGTGACTGTTTATGTGATATGAGGCAGGGTGACTGTGTATGTGGGATGATGCAAGATAACTTTTTATGTGATATGAGGCAGGATAACTGTTTATGTGAGATGAGGCAGGATAACTGTGTATGTGATATGAGGCAGGACAACTGTTTATGTGATATTAGGCAGGATAACTGTGTATGTGAGATGAGGCAGCACAGAAATCTGTTTAATTGATATAAGGCAGGACAAATGTGTATGTGAGATGAGGCAGGATAACTGTGTCCGTGTACGTGATATGAGTGCGGATAAGTGTTTGGCGTGAGATGAGGCAGGATAACTGTTTATGTGATATGAGGCAGGATAACTGCATTGCGTGATATGAGGCAGGATAACTGTTTATGTGATATGAGGCAGGATAACTGTGGATAATGTGATGAGATGAGGCAGGATATAACTGTTTATGTGAGATGAGGCAGGATAACTGTTTATGTGAGAGATGGCAGGACGATAACTGTTTATGTGAGATGAGACCAGGATAATAACTGTTTATGTGATATGAGGCAGGATAACCAGTTTATGTGAGATGAGGCAGGAGATAACCTGTATGTGCAGGGATGACTGCAGGACGGATAAGGGTATTTTATGTGATATGAGGCAGGAGGATAACTGTTATGGAGATGAGGCAGGAGATAACCGTAGCCGGAGATGAGGCAGGATAACCTGTTTATGTGGAGAGATGAGGCAGGGATAAATCTGTTTATGTGATATGATGCAGGGTAACTGTTTATGTGAGATGAGGCAGGGATAACTGTTATGTGTGAGATGAGGCAGGAGATAACTGTTTATGTGAGATGGAGGCAGGAGATAACTGGTTTATGTGAGAGATGAGGTAACTGTTTATGTGAGGTGTGATGCAGGGTAACTAAGGATGTGAGGATGATGCAGGACAATCCATTTATGTGATATGATGAGAGCAGGATAACTGTTTATGTGATATGAGGCAGGGAACAACTGTTTATGCGTGATGATGCAGGGTAGGAGATAACTGTTTATGCAGGATGATGACTGGCAGGGATAACTGTGAGGATGTGATATGATGCAGGGTAACTGTTTATGTGAGATGAGGCAAGTGATAACTGTTTATGTGAGATGAGGAGGCAGGAGATGAACTGTTTATGCAGGATAACCGTGGCGATATATGAGGCAGGATAACCGTGTATGCGGAGATGAGGCAGGATAACTGTTTATGTGATATGATAACCAGGATAACTGTTTATGTGAGAGATGAGGCAGAGATAACTGTGTATAGTGAGATGGAGGCAGGATAACTGTTTATGTGAGATAGGAGGCAGGATAACTGTTTATAGGATATAGAGGCAGGACAACTGTGTATGTGAGATGAGGCAGGAGGATAACTGCATATGTGATATGAAACAGGGATGACTGTTTATGTGATATCCATAGAGGCAGGATAACTGTGTATGTGAGATGAGGCAGGGTAACATGGTTTATGTGATATGAGGCAGGATAACTGTTTATGTGATATGAGGCAGGATAACTGTTTATGTGATATAGGAGGCAGGACAACTGTTTATGTGATATGAGGCAAGATGTGGCAGGGATAACGATATAGAGTGGAGGACATAGACTGTTTAGGGTGACTATATGTGAGGAATAGGATAACTGTATGTGATATGAGATGGATAAGGATAACTGTGTATGTGATATGAGGCAGAGGGTGACTGTTTATGTGATATAAAGGCAGGAGGAGATGTTTATGTGTGAGATGATGCAGGACAACTGTATGTATGTGATGATATGAAAGCAGGAGGTAACTAGGATTTATGTGATATCAAGGAGGTGCATAGGGAAAGGCTGTGTATGTGGAGTATGGAGGCAGAAAGGACAACTGTTTATATGAGGTGAGGCAGGGTAACTGTTTATACAGATATGAGGTGCATGGAATTAACCTGTGTATGTGATATGATGGAAGGAACCGTTTATGGAGATAATGCTTAAAGCGTGCTATGTGGATAATGAATTGAGGTTGACATGTGATAGATGCAGGATAACTGTTTGTGAGATGAATTTTAGGATAACTGTTTATGTGATATGGAGGCAGGGTAACTGGATATGGATGAGATGAAAGGCAGGATAACTGTTTATGTGAGATGAGGGGAGGCAGGATAACTGTTTATATGATATAAAGGAAGGGTAAACTGTTTATGTAGATAGTAGGCAGGATAACTGTATGTGAGATGAGGCAAAGGATAATGTGTATGACATAGGAAGGGTAACTATTTTATGAGTATGATGCAATTTGAGTGTTTATGTGATGAGATGAAAGGAAGTTTATGTAACTGTGTATGGTAAGATGAATGAGAAGGATAACTGTGGATATGTGATATGAGGGCAGGATAACTGTTTATGTGATATAGAGAGGGGTGACACAGAAAGAGGTTGACTGTTTAGGGAGCAGGATATGAGTCAGATCAGGCAGGATAACTGTTTATGTGAGATGAGGCAGGATAACTGTTTATGTGAGATGAGGCAGGATAACTGTTTATGTGAGATGAGGCAAGGATAACTGTGTACGTGTGATATGAGGCAGGACAACTGTTTATGTGCGTATGAGGCAGGATAACTGTTTATGTGATATGAGGCAGGACAAGACAACCGTACGGCAGGACAACGCAGGATACGGACAACTGGATACGACCAGACCACGAGGACCACGATAACCAACAGCGGAATAACCACGGCCATGCGGATAACTGGTCGATAACCAGGATAACCAGCGGAGAAACGGAGATGCGGTGGAGATAACTGCATAACGACCGAACGCGGTGGATGGATAACCGGTAACCATGGATACGACCGACGACGATCGAACACGATAACCACGCACGATAACCGGTAACCATGGATAACGGATACGATAACGACCAGCCGGACCAGGATAACCGATATGCGGATAACTGGATAACCCGTATGACAACCGGAACATGCGGACCAGCGGACCGGTGGATACGAACGAGGTAAAACGCGGAAGGATAACTGGCGATAACGGACATGATAACGGCGGATAACCAGACACGATAACCACGGCGGACAACTGGATAACCCGTACGGATACGATAACCAGCGGATAATCACGGCGGATATGCGGACAACCAGCCTACGACTGCGGACAGGATAACCGGATACGATAACGGATGGATAACGACCAGTGGAAATGCGGATAACCGGTATGGACATGGACACACAAAGATAACGACGAGAAATACAACTGCGGATACGGAAGGAATGGATAACCGGTATGGATAACCAGGATAACGAGATAACAGGAAATGCGGACCGTGGCAGGATAACCCGTCAGGATAACCCGGTATCCCAGGATAACCGTACGCCGAGGCAGGATAATCGATATGGACAGACAACTGAAACCCGCGGAGACAAGGATAATCGGAGGAAGGATAACGGTGACAACGGACATGGATAACCGGATATGGACAATGCGGATATGCGGACTGCATGCGGACAAGGAAATGGAGGGACGAACGTACGCGGACCAGCGGATGGACAACCGGATCCAACTGCGGACCAAGGACACGACGGACAACTGACCAGTGGATGCAGGCGGACCGGATAACCACGGACCAGGAAATGAGGCATGGAGGCAGGATAACATGTGGATAACCACGGAAAAGGATATGGATAACCAGTGGAGGACAACAGGACCAGGCCACACAGGAACTGAAGGTGAATGGACAGAATCCAATGAGGCAGGATAACTGCATGGATAACCAGTGGAGGAGACATGATGGAAATGAGGCACACTGTGGAGATCATGTGGATAACCACAGACCAGATGAGGTGAAGGCCGGATGAACTGGATAACTATGTGGAGATGGAATGAGGCAGGATAACTGTGTCATGTGAGATGAGGCAGGATAACTGTGTATGTGATATGAGACAGGATAACTGTTTATATGTGATATGAGGCAGGATAACTGTTTATGTGAGATGAGGCAGGATAACTGTGTGTATGTGAGATGAGAGCAGGAAAACTGTTTATGTGATATGAGGCAGGGTAACTGTTTATGTGATGATAAGGCAGGATAATATCTATGTGATATGATGCAGGGTAACTGTTTATGTGAGATGAGGCAGAGTAACTGTTTATGTGATATGAGGCAGGATAACTGTTTATGTGATATGAGGTAGGGATGACTGTTTATATGTGAAATGAGGCAGGATAACCTGTATGTGATATGTGATATGAGGCAGGATAACCTATGTATGAGATAGGATGCAGAATAAGGTGTTTATGTGAGATGAGGCAGGATAACAGGATAACTGTTTATGTATATGAGATGAGGATAACTGTTTATGATGAGACAAATGTTTATGTGGGATATAGAGGCAGAGTAACTGTTTAGATAAGAGGCAGGATATGATGCAGGATAACTGTTTATGTTAGGAGAGGGTGACTGTTTAAGTGAGATGATGCAGGATAACTGTTTATGTGAAATGAGGAAGGAGTAACTGTTTTATGTGATGATGCCAGATAACTGTTGCAGAAGGATAACTGTTTATGTGATATGATGCAGGGTAACTGTTTATGTGAGATGAGGCAGGACAACTGTTTATGTGATATGAGGCAGGGTGACTGTTGATGTGAAATGAGGCAGGTTGACTGTGTATGTGAGATGAGGCAGGATAACTGTGTATGTCAGATGAGGCAGGATAACTGTGTATGTCAGATGAGGCAGGATAACTGTGTATGTGATATGAGGCAGGATAACTGTTTATGTGATATGAGGAAGGGTAACTGTGTATGTGAGATCAGGCAGGACAAATGTCTATGTGACATGAGGCAGGATAAATGTTTATGTGAGATGAGGCAGGGTGACTGTTTATGTGATATGAGGCAGGGTGACTGTGTATGTGATATGAGGCAGGATAACTCTGTATGTGAAATGAGGGAGGATAACTGTGTACGTGAGATGAGGCAGGGTGACTATGTATGTGATATGAGGCAGGATAACTGTTTATGTGATAAGATGCATGATAACTGTGTATGTGATATGAGGCAGGATAACTGTTTATGTGAGATGAGGCGTGATAACTGTGTATGTGATATGAGGCCGGGTAACTGTGTATGTGGTTTGAGGCAGGACAACTGTTTATGTGAAATGAGGCAGGACAACTGTTTATGTGATATGGTGCAGGGTATCGGTTTATGTGAGATGAGGAAGGGTAACTGTGTATGTGAGATCAGTCAGGACAAATGTCTATGTGACATGAGGCAGGATAAATGTTTATGTGAGATGAGGCAGGGTGACTGTTTATGTGATATGATGCAGGGTGACTGTGTATGTGATATGAGGCAGAATAACTGTGTATGTGAGATGAGGCAGGATAACTGTTTATATGATATGAGGCAGGAGATAACTGTTTATGTGAGATGAGGCAGGACATAACTGTTTATGTGATATGATGCAGGGTGACTGTTTATGTGATATGATGCAGGGTAACTGTTTATGTGAGATGAGGCAGGATAACTGTTTATGTGAGATGAGGCAGGAGATAACTGTTTATGTGAGATGAGGCAGGATAACTGTTTATGTGAGATGAGGCAGGAGATAACTGTTTATGTGAGATGAGGCAGGAGATAACTGTTTATGTGATATGATGCAGGGTAACTGTTTATGTGAGATGAGGCAGGATAAGTGTTTATGTGAGATGAGGCAGGATAAGTGTTTATGTGAGATGAGGCAGGATAACTGTTTATGTGATATGAGGCAAAGAGATAACTGTTTATGTGAGATGAGGCAGGAGATAACTGTTTATGTGAGATGAGGCAGGGTAACTGTTTATGTGATATGATGCAGGGTGACTGTTCTGTCACATGTGACAAGTTTGTATGTATTGTATTTTAGTAACCCGTGTTAGGGTTAGGTTTGGTTTTCGGTGGCCCATGCTTGTCGTAGAGGTGACTGATGGGATCGGGTGGTCAGGCTCGCTGGCTGGGTTGACACATGTCATTGGTTCCCAATTGTATGGATCAATGCTTATGCTGTTGATTACTGGATTGTCGGGTCCAGACTGTTGTTTTCAGACCGCTGCCATATAGCTGGAATATTGCTGAGTGTGGCGTAAAACTAAACTCATTCACTCACTTATGTATTTGCAGTATGTTTTGCACAATTTATTTTAGTGGTATGCACTGCGCAATCTTCTGTGTCGCATCTCACCGGAAGATCCTGGTTTTAGGTTTCAGTTTGTTATGGATCGCACACGCGATGTTTTTTAGTAATTTGGTTTTAAGGCATTGCATGCCAAACTCCAGTTCCCCATGGTGTAAGTACACACTCAATATGTTTGATAGTGTTTTGCAGTACATTGTAACCCATATTTCTATTATTTAATGTAAATTTGGTTCGAATTTCTATCAGACTCTTTCAGAGTTAATGCCATGTGCCTTTTAAACTGAATGAAGCATTCATAAAATCTCTTTCTGCTAACTTTGGCTAGGAAAACGTGTGTATTTTGGCCCATGTGTTTAGAACTTTAGATTGTAATATGTTTTGGCAATATAAGTAATTATCTGTTTTCTTATTGTAGCAATTTACCACACGATTGAGGAATAAAAAGCTTACAGCACAGTAAATTGACCACGACCTCTTCTGGAGTTGAAGACATTGGGAATTGTCAGTAATTGGACAGGACCATTACTGGAAGCAGACAATAATTTTGAAAGACAATTTCTGAGTATGGAACGCCACACTGGCCCAAAATTATTAAATGAAATAGTGATATGAACATTATTCATGAACATATCTACAAAGAATTGTGTTGATATACAGACACATGAATATGGCAGAGGGTAAGCCTTCGGATTCAAATATGGATGAGTCATCATCACAAGTTGTTGATAGTGAGGAAGTTCTTGATAGTGGTGACGTTCAAAAGCGAAAAAGAACATTAACTGATAAAGGTCAAAGTTTATATGAATCACACAGACAGGATTTTAATGATAAACTTGACTCAGCTTGGCATGTTGTTGCTGTGCAAATAGACAACATCAGGAAGGGTGAATTGGATCTACAGACATTAAGAAAATATGAGAAAGACTTGAGAAGCAATTTTGACAAACAAAGAGACATTTTCATTGATTTTGTTGCTTTCCTAAACAGAACTGGTACGGAAGAAAGTACACATGACTTTGACATGCTAAAGGATAAATTCAGTAGTTTTGCAATGCAAATGGACAGTGCTGTTCGTGACATTGATACACAAATTGACAATGCAGTAAAGGAAAGGTCTGTGCCTTCACATGCATCTGGTTCACAAAATTCACAAGCCAGTTCTTACATGGCAAGGAAGTTGGCCAAAGCGGAAGCAACAAAGGCTGCTATAGATTATGCAGCAAAAGAAGCCAGTCTACTAAGACAAAGTGCTATTATTGATGAAGAAAATCAAGTCGCCGCAGCCCGAGCAAAACGAAGATTGGCTGAACTTGAAGCAGACCGCCATTTCCTACAACAACAGAAAGCTGCAGCTGAAGCAGAAGCTGAAGTAAAAGCCCTGCAGGCGGTTGGACAACAAATTTCTCTTCCAGAGGAAGATCCAAGAAAGCGGACACAGGCTTATGTCAAAAATTTAAGTCAGACAGAGTACAATTACCCTAAACAGCAATACAATCATCAGACTGCAGAACAGATGAGTGATCGCGATGAAAACACAGGTGTGAAATCTTATCAACTTAACCCAAACGCTGAAGTTTACACACCCACACATCAAGCAATGGACATTTCACGTTTCCTGTTGAGGAAAGATCTACTGTTCTCACGGCTCTACAGCTTTAACGACCAGCCAGAGGCATACCGCACGTGGAAGGCAGGATTCCTAAGCGTAATGGAGGACATGAGTGTTTCGCCAAGTGAGGAGCTCGACCTGATGGTGAAGTGGTTAGGTCCAGAATCAGGAAAACATTCATTAAGTATTAAGACTGCGAATGCTCACAACCCTCAGGTAGCTGTCGAACTGCTATGGCAGCGACTGGATGAGCGATATGGTGCTCCTGAAATGGTTGAAGCATCTCTGAAAGCTCGGCTAGCACGCTTTCCTAAGTTGACTATTAGAGACAATAAGAAACTTTATGAACTGTCAGACTTAGTAAATGAGATAGAGTCGGTGAAAAGTTGTGAGAGATACAGCATTTTGCTTGCATATTTTGATTCATCAGTAGGAGTTATCCCTATTGTTCAAAAACTGCCTCATTCATTGCAAGAAAAGTGGACAAGCCACGCCACTAATTATAAAGATAAGCATAATGTCTCATTCCCTCCATTCTCTGTGTTTGTAGAGTTCTTGCGAAGAACAAGCAAAATGAGAAATGACCCTAGCTTTGCATATGAAACTGGCTCAAGTGTACCGCACACACAAGACAAATCTCTATCTACATTCAAACAGGCGCGCCCCTCTGTCAATTCGAGGAAGACTGATGTGGCAGAGAGCAAATCTGCAGACAGCCAAACTTTGTGTCCGCTACACAAAACAAAACATTCTCTGAATCAGTGCAAGGCTTTCAGAATGAAGGAGTATGAGGAAAGGAAAGAGTTTTGGAGAAGAAATCGCATTTGCTACAAATGCTGTGCATCTACTGAGCACATAGCAAAAATGTGCAACCAAGCAGAGAAGTGTGGAGAGTGCAATAGTCGTACACATGCTACAGCGCTTCATGTTGTCAACTACCCAAAAGGTAATCGTAGTCCCACATCGCCAAGAGATAATGGCGGGGAGCATGAACAGACTTTCAGGAAAAGTACACAAAATGACTCCATTTCTATAAAGTGCACTCAGATATGTAGGAACGGGTTCAGTGGAAAGTCTTGTGCCAAGACGGTTCTTGTAAATGTACACCCCAAAGGGCAACCAGACTTTACAGTGAAGATGTATGCTTTGCTCGATGACCAGAGTAACTCAACTTTGGCACGAACAGAGTTCTTTGACGCATTCAATGTGAAATGTGATGAAATACCATATACACTTTCTTCATGCTCAGGTGTGATGGAGACTTCTGGAAGGAAAGCATCAGGTTTTATTGTTGAGCCTCTTGATTGTAGTAGCAGTCTTGAACTTCCAGCAATTATCGAATGCAATTCTAAACCCAATCAGAGGGATGAAATACCCACTCCTGAAGTCGCGAGCCACTACTCGCATCTCAACGATATTGCAAGTTTCATTCCTCCAATAGACAATTCATGTGATATTCTTTTGCTCATCGGACGGGACATGATCCAAGCGCACCATGTTTATGACCACCGCATCGGGCCAGGTAATACACCATATGCACAAAAATTACCTTTGGGTTGGGTAATTATTGGTGAGAGTTGTATCGGCAAGGTACACAAACCAGACTTTGTGAATGTCAGTAAGACAAATCTTCTACCAAGCGGAAGACCTACAGTCTTCAAACCATGTCCAAACTTATTCAGTGTGAAAGAACTGTGTGCACCATGTTGTATGCAGCAATGTGAAAACTCTATTGGAGACACAGTGTTTCATCTAGGCAAAGATGATGACAAACCCGGATTGTCTATTGAAGATCAGCAATTTCTTCAAATAATGGACAAAGAAATGTACAAAGGGAGTGAAGGTAACTGGATTGCACCAGTTCCATTCAAGTCGACCAGACCCCTTCTCCCAAATAACAGATGTCAAGCGATGAAACGAGCAAGGACACTAGATAGAAGTATGAAACAGGACTCTGTTAAGAGACAGCATGTTATGGACTTCATGGCTAAGATTTTTGACAACAACCATGCGGAAAAAGCCCCACCCTTGAAAGAAAATGAAGAATGCTGGTATTTGCCATTGTTTGGTGTTTACCACCCCAGAAAACCTAATCAGATCCGTATGGTATTCGACTCTTCTGCTCCATACAAAGGTGTATCATTGAACAATGTTTTGTTACAAGGGCCTGACATGATAAACAGTCTTCTCGAAATTCTTCTCAGGTTTCGAAAACATCAGGTGGGAGTAATGGGAGACATACAGCAGATGTTCTATTGCTTCCAAGTCAGAGAGGATCACAGAAATTATCTACGATTTTTTTGGTATGAAGATAACAACCCAAACAAGGAGCTGACTGAGTACCGAATGAGGGTACATGTCTTCGGTAACAGCCCATCTCCAGCCATAGCAGCCTATGGTCTACACAAAACTGCAGAAGAAGCCAGAGACATGTTTGGGGAAGATGTGGTGAACTATGTCAAAAGTGACTTTTATGTTGATAATGGACTTCTGTCAAAACCCACTGCAAGTGAAGTAGTCGATCTCGTGAAGAGAACGCAGCAAGATTTGAAAAACTTCGGTAACATTCGACTGCACAAGATCATTTCAAATAATCATGAAGTGATGAAATCCTTCCCCAATGATGACTTGGCCAAGGATTTGAAAGACTTAAACTTTGACGGCGACAAACTTCCGCTACAGAGGAGCCTCGGAATGTTGTGGGATGTCAAGACCGACACGTTCACATTCAGATGGTCAGGTGAGAAGAAGCCGTACACAAAGCGGGGTGTCCTCTCAACCATCAATAGTGTGTATGATCCCATGGGATTTGTTGCACCAGTTATCATTCAAGGAAAGGTGCTCCTCAGGGAGTTGATAAATCAGGAAGTTGATTGGGATGATCCCCTACCAAGTGAATATCAGGAGGAATGGGAAAGCTGGAGAGACTCTTTAAGTGCACTGGAACAGCTGAACATTCCTAGAGCATTTTTACAACAAACCTTTGAAGAAATTGAGAAACAAGTACAAGTGTACGCAGATGCCTCAGGAAAAGCAATTTCAGCTGTGGCATATCTTGTTGGACAAAATGAAAAAGGATCAGAAATGGGTTTTCTCCTTGGAAAATCAAAAGTTGCTCCAGCGCATGGACATACAATTCCTCGTCTTGAGTTATGTGCATCTGTATTGGCAGTAGAAATTGGGAGCATAGTATGTGAGAGTCTAGAAGCGCCATGTTCATCTGTTCAATACTTCACGGACAGTCGCATTGTACTTGGGTACATTTCTAATGAAATTAGAAGATTTCAAGTGTACATAGCCAACAGAGTAGCAACTATCAGAAAGTTTTCTTCTCCACAGCAGTGGAACTATGTTGAGACAGGTACAAACCCAGCAGACTGTGGAACAAGATTTATGCCGGCAAGCATAATAGGAGATAGCAAATGGCTAAATGGCCCATCTCAACTCCCTAGGAAATCAGACACCACAGAGACAGTGATGAGCCCTGACATGGATCAAGACTATGAATTACAAAGTGAAGTAAGGTCATGTGTCAGAAAGGTTGACAAGTCACAACCACAATTTCACATTCAGCGTTTTGAGAGATTTTCGGATTGGAAGAAACTTGTACGTGCTATAGTGAGACTCCAGAGTATCGCACGCGATAGACATCACATCTCTCCAAGTGCCTTTTCAAGTGCAGATGCTTACATCACAGCTGAAAACTTCATCATTCGTCAAGTTCAGTGTGAAAACTATGCTGAAGACATACAGCGCATCCGCTCTAAAATGTCCTTATTGAAGGACAGCCCACTCTATTCAGTGAATCCACTCATTGACGAAGACGGAATGCTCAGGATAGGTGGCCGTCTCAACAAAGCAGAATTAGAAGTTGGCTTAAAAAATCCACTGATCATACCTGGTCGTCATCACATAGCGCTACTCCTAGTTCTCATGTACCATGAGCAAGTGAATCATCAAGGACGTCACTTCACGGAGGGAGCCGTTAGAGCTGCGGGCCTGTGGATCACCAGCGGCAAGCGCCTAATAAACTCTGTGATTTTCAAGTGTGTGAAGTGTCGCAAACTGCGAGGCCGAGGCGCTGAACAGAAGATGGCAGATTTGCCAAAGGATCGCCTAACTCCATGTCCTCCATTTACTTATGTAGGCGTGGACACATTCGGCCCATGGTCCGGCACCACACGACGCACCAGGGGAGGACAGGCAAATAGCAAGCGTTGGGCTTTGTTGTTCACTTGCCTTGTCATCAGAGCCGTCCACATAGAGGTGATAGATGAGCTGAGTACCTCGGCTTTTATCAACGCGCTGAGGCGCTTCATATCCATCAGAGGTAAAGTGAAGGAATTCCGTTCGGACAGGGGCACAAATTTCACTGGAGCTTGCAGTGTTCTCAATGTGAATGTCATAAATGTAGAGGATGAGCCAATTAAAAGGTTCCTGTCCGATAACAAGGCTAGTTGGATCTTCAATCCACCTCAGGCATCCCATATGGGAGGTGTATGGGAGAGGATGATTGGAGTAGTGAGAAGAATCCTAGACTCTATGCTAGCAAATGTGTCTCATAGAAATCTCACTCATGATGTGTTGACAACACTAATGGCAGAAATCTGTGCAATTGTTAATGCAAGACCAATAGTACCAGTTTCCTCGGACCCTGAAGTTCCAGGTATATTAAGTCCCTCTTCTTTGTTGACGCTCAAGTCAGATCATGCGGAGAATCTTGTGACAAACTGTAACATGACAGATTTGTATCAGTCTCAGTGGAGGCTAGTGCAAGCACTCGCTGAACAATTTTGGTCAAGGTGGAAAACTGACTATCTTCATACCCTACAGGCTAGACGTAAGTGGTTTGACAGTAAACCTAACATTGAGCAAGGCGATGTTGTTCTTCTGAGAGAAAAGGACACTGTTCGCAATGAATGGCCTATTGGACTGGTCGAAAATGCCATTCAGAGTGAGGATGGCAAAATACGAAAAGCTGTTATTCGTGGTATCCGCGAGAACTCTGTGTTGAAACTAACTCGCCCAATCACAGAACTTGTGTTGCTGATGAAAGTATCAGCAAATGACTTATAAATTTTAGACTGCACAAAGGCTTTGAGAAGTTTAGAATATATTGCATTTCCTTAAGATTTTGAGTAATCTTAACAGATGATGGACATTTTCTTGTAGTTTATTATACATGCTTTTGAATGTTTTGATGTATTGTATTAATTTGGTGATTTATATGATATCTTTCACAAGATATCAGACGGGGAGTGTTCTGTCACATGTGACAAGTTTGTATGTATTGTATTTTAGTAACCCGTGTTAGGGTTAGGTTTGGTTTTCGGTGGCCCATGCTTGTCGTAGAGGTGACTGATGGGATCGGGTGGTGAGGCTCGCTGGCTGGGTTGACACATGTCACTGGTTCCCAATTGCATGGATCAATGCTTATGCTGTTGATTACTGGATTGTCGGGTCCAGACTGTTGTTTTCAGACCGCTGCCATATAGCTGGAATATTGCTGAGTGTGGCGTAAAACTAAACTCATTCACTCACTTATGTATTTGCAGTATGTTTTGCACAATTTATTTTAGTGGTATGCACTGCGCAATCTTCTGTGTCGCATCTCACCGGAAGATCCTGGTTTTAGGTTTCAGTTTGTTATGGATCGCACACGCGATGTTTTTTAGTAATTTGGTTTTAAGGCATTGCATGCCAAACTCCAGTTCCCCATGGTGTAAGTACACACTCAATATGTTTGATAGTGTTTTGCAGTACATTGTAACCCATATTTCTATTATTTAATGTAAATTTGGTTCGAATTTCTATCAGACTCTTTCAGAGTTAATGCCATGTGCTTTTTAAACTGAATGAAGCATTCATAAAATCTCTTTCTGCTAACTTTGGCTAGGAAAACGTGTGTATTTTGGCCTATGTGTTTAGAACTTTAGATTGTAATATGTTTTGGCAATATAAGTAATTATCTGTTTTCTTATTGTAGCAATTTACCACACGATTGAGGAATAAAAAGCTTACAGCACAGTGACTGTGTATGTGATATTAGGCAGGAGATAACTGTTTATGTGATATGATGCAGGGTAACTGTTTATGTGAGATGAGGCAGGGTAACTGTTTATGTGATATGATGCAGGGTAACTGTTTATGTGAGATGAGGCAGGATAACTGTGTATGTGAGATGAGGCAGGATAACTGTTTATGTGATATGATGAAGGGTAACTATTTATGTGATATGATGCAGGGTAACTGTTTATGTGAGATGAGGCAGGGTAACTGTTTCTGTGATATGATGCAGGGTAACTGTTTATGTGAGATGAGGCAGGATAACTGTGTATGTGAGATGAGGCAGGATAACTGTTTATGTGATATGATGAAGGGTAACTATTTATGTGATATGAGGCAGGGTAACTGTTTATGTGAGATGAGGCACGACAACTGTGTATGTGAGATGAGGCAGGATATTTGTTTATGCGATATGAGACAGGGTGACTGTTTATGTGAAATGAGGCAGAGTGACTGTGTATGTAAGATTAGGCAGGATAACTGTTTATGTGATATTAGGCAGGAGATAACTGTTTATGTGAGATGGGGCAGGGAGACTGTTTATGTGATATGAGTCAGGATAACTGTGTATGTGATATGAGGCAGGATAACAGTGTATTTGAGATGAGGCAGGATAACTGTGTATGTGATATGAGGCAGTATAACTGTGTATGTGATATGAGGGAGGATAACTGTGTATGTGGTATGAGGCCAGGTAACTGTGTATGTGGTATGAGGCAAGACAACTGTTTATGTGATATGGTGCAGGGTATCGGTTTATGTGAGATGAGGAAGGATAACTGTGCATGTGAGATCAGGCAGGACAAATGTCTATGGACATGAGCCAGGATAAATGTTTATGGGAGATGAGGTAGGGTGACTGTTTATGTGAGATGAGGCAGGATAACTGTGTATGTGAGATGAGGCAGGGTGACTGTTTATGTGATATGATGCAGGGTAACTGTTTATGTGAGATGAGGCAGGATAATTGTTTATGTGATATGAGGCAGGGTGACTGTTTATGTGAAATGAGGCGGAGTGACTGTGTATGTAAGATTAGGCAGGATAACTGTTTATGTTATATTAGGCAGGAGATGACTGTTTATGTGATATGATGCAGGGTAACTTTTTATGTTAGATGAGGCAGGATAACTCTTTATATGATATGAGGCAGGGTGACTGTTTATGTGAAATGAGGCAGAGTGACTGTGTATATGAGATGAGGCAGGATAACTGTGTATGTGAGATGAGGCAGGATAACTGTTGATATGATATGATGCAGGATAAGTGTTTATGTGATATGAGGCAGGGTTACTGTTTATGTGAAATGAGGCAAAGTGACTGTGTATGTGAGATGAGGCAGGATAACTGTGTATGTGAGATGAGGCAGGATATCTGTGTATGTGAGATGATGCAGAGTAACTGTTTATGTGAGATGAGGCAGGATAACTGTGTATGTGAGATGAGGCAGGATAGCTGTTGATATGATATGAGGCAGGATAAGTGTTTAGGTGAGATGAGAAAGGATAACTGTTTATGTGATATGATGCAAGGTAACTGTTTATGTGAGATGATACTGGGTAACTGTTTATGTGATATGAGGAAGGGTGACTGTTTATGTGATATGAGGCAGGATAACTGCTTATGTGAGATGAGGCAGGATAACTGTTTATGTGATATGAGGCTGGATAACTGTTTATGTGATATTAGGCAGGATAACTGTGTATGTGAGTTGAGGCAGGAGATAACTTTTTATGTGATATGAGGCAGAGTAACTGCTTATGTGAGATGAGGCAGGATAACTGTTTATGTGATATGAGGCTGGATAACTGTTTATGTGATATGAGGCAGGGTGACTGTTTATGTGAAATGAGGCAGGTTGACTCTTTTTGTGAGATGAGGAAGGATAACTCTTTATGTGATATGAGGCAGGATAACTGTTTATGTGATATGAGGCAGGATAACTGTGTATGTGAGATGAGGCAGGATAACTGTGTATGTGAGATGAGGCAGGATAACTGTGTATGTGATATGAGGCAGGATAACTGTTTATGTGATATTAGGCAGGATAACTGTGTATGTGAGTTGAGGCAGGAGATAACTGTTTATGTGAGATGAGACAGGGTGACTGTTTATGTGATATGATGCAGGGTAACTGTTTTATGTGAGATGAGGCAGGGTGACTGTGTTTGTGAGATGAGGCAGGATAACTGTTTATGTGATATGAGACAGGGTGACTGTTTTATGTGAGATGAGGCAGGGTGACTGTGTTTGTGATATGAGGCATGGTAACTCTTTATGTGATATGAGGCAGGATAACTGTCTATGTGAGATGAGGCAGGATAACTACGTATGTGAGATGAGGCAAGATAACTGTTTATGTCAGATGATCCAGGATAACTGTTTATGTGATATGAGGCAGGATAACTGTGTATGTGAGATGAGGCAGGACAAATGTCTATGGACATGAGGCAGGATAAATCTTTATGGGAGATGAGGTAGGGTGACTGTTTATGTGAGATGAGGCAGGGTAACTGTGTATGTGAGATGAGGCAGGATAACTGTGTATGTGATATGAGGCAGGATAACAGTGTATGTGATATGAGGCAGGATAACTGTGTATGTGAAATGAGGCAGGATAACTGTGTACGTGAGGTGAGGCAGGGTGACTGTGTATGTGATATGAGGCATGATAACTGTTTATGTGAGATGAGGCAGGATAACTGTTTATGTAATATGAGTCAGAATAACTGTGTACGTGATATGAGGCAGGACAACTGTTTATGTGATATTAGGAAGGATAACTGTGTATGTGAGATGATGCAGGATAACTGCTTATGCTAGATGAGGCAGGATAACTGTGTATGTGATAGGAGGCAGGATAAATGTTTATGTGATATGAGGCAGGGTGACTGTTTATGTGAGATGAGGCAGGGTAACTGTTTATGTGACATGAGGAAGGATAACTGTTTATGTGATATGAGGCAGGATAACTGTTTATATGATATGATGCAGGGTGACTGTGTATGAGATATGAGGCAGGATAACTGTTTATGTGAGATGAGGCAGGATAACTGTGTATGTGAGATGAGGCAGGGAGACTTTTATGTGATATGATGCAGGGTAACTGTTGATGTGAAATGAGGCAGAGTGACTGTGTATGTAAGATTAGGCAGGATAACTGTTTATGTGATATTAGGCAGGAGATGACTGTTTATGTGATATGATGCAGGGTAACTTTTTATGTGAGATGAGGCAGGATAACTGTGTATATGATATGAGGCAAGGTAACTGTTTATGTGATATGAGGCAGGATATTTGTTTATGTGATATGAGGCAGGGTGACTGTTTATGTGAAATGAGGCAGAGTGACTGTGTATGTAAGATTAGGCAGGATAACTGTTTATGTGATATTAGGCAGGAGATAACTGTTTATGTGATATGATGCAGGGTAACTTTTTATGTGAGATGAGGCAGGATAACTGTTTATATGATATGACGCAAGTGGCTGTTTATGTGATATGATGCAAGGTAACTGTTTATGTGAGATGATACAGGGTATCTGTTTATGTGAGCTGATACAGGGTAAGTGTTTATGTGATATGAGGAAGGGTGACTGTTTATGTGAGATGATGGAAGATAACTGTTTATGTGATATGAGGCAGGATAACTGTGTATGTGATATGAGGCAGGATAACAGTGTATGTGATATGTGGCAGGATAACTGTGTATGTGATATGAGGCAGGATAACTGTATGTGAGATGAGGCAGGATAACTGTGTATGTGAGATGAGGCAGGATAACTGTTGATGTGATATGAGGCAGGATAACTGTTTATGTGAGATGAGGCAGGATAACTGTGTATGTGAGATGAGGCAGGATAATTGTTTATGTGATATGAGGCAGGATAACTGTGTATGTGAGATGATGCAGGATAGATGTGTATGTGAGATGAGGCAGGATAACTGTGTATGTGAGATGAGGCAGGACAACTGTTTATGTGAGATGAGGCAGGATAACTGTGTATGTGA